AGCACCAATATTACTTGATCATAGGCTAGTCCTCAGCAGCAGCCAAGCTTGTTTCTCCCTTGGCTTCAATGTTACTTGCTTCCGCCTTCTTCACCTTCTTCTCTTGAATATGTCAATATGGGTTTGTTTGACATCACGCTTGGAATCTCTGGTCGTCTCTTCGCCCTTTATCACATTGCTGTCGCCAAACCACATAGGGTTTCTCCCTCCTCTTTGCTTTCACCACATGTCCTTTTCTGAGTTTGAAGGATCTGCAGCTTTTCTCTCTGCCTCTATTTCAGCATCTGTCATGACTTTAAGAAGTTCTAACCGGCAGGGCTGCAGGATCCAACTCCCGCATCCAGTGGGAACATTTGGAGCTTCTTGGCCTGTAAGCAAGTATGAAGGGACCTGATGAGAGAAGCGAAACATCTCTTCCCTGGGAATATGCCGAATATACATGGGGTCCAAATGCTGACGGAATACTGACTTGAAGCCAGCTACTTTGACTAATGGAGCAACTGTGACACCTTCCTTCTCTGTGTAGTCTCCAAGCACTTCCACCATATCATAGGTGTGTATCGCATCATCCGGAGTTAGCTCATTCCATTTAGGAGACCAATGCCTGTACACAGCCCAAACATCCCCCTTTCTTGGATAATTTGGATAACACCTCTGGCTCCTTTCACCCACTTGACCTTGTGGGAGAACGAATTGAGCGTCTTACTGATTTCATGCTTGCCTATCCTGAAATCTCCACTGGTCTTGAGGAATCCAGAACCAATCCAATTAATAGGGCCGAATTCAGAGTTGTTTTTTGGAGTTCAACCAGCTGAATTGCACTTTAAATGGCTTTTTTAGATATCACATTGTGAATCAGAGCATAATAGCGCGGCATGCCATCATCATCGTCATAAGCAGCCCAAACTTGATTATCATCGAAAGATTTTTCTCGTTCTATCCTTGTCAAAATTATGGAAGTCAGGGTCAGGAACAGTCATCGATGTAACTTCTTGTTCTAAATCACAGCTGCAATAAAGACGGAAGACTTTTTTCTGCTCGCACACTATTTTGGAATCCACCACTGCATCATTAGCAGTTTTATCCCTTCTCATATCATTTGGATAAACTTTAGGAGCGCTTCGCTCCTTGTTCTTATCTCCCATTCTTTTCATCAGTTCACACTCAGTATCATGAAGAGTCTTATAGCAGACATGCTCGCAGCCGTGATGCTCGTGCCTCCCCCATTCTTTAATGTACTCTCTGTCTCCTGATCACTCGTTCACCTTGCCATTGTTTCATGCATACGACGTGCAATATTAAGCGACAGTACTCTCAATGATTACTGCATGAGAATAGGGCGTTAGCACTCACTTTGAACTCCTAGGGCTTGTACTTCCCGCAAACGGCGACCCTCCTGCTTCTTTCAAGAATCCCATATCTCATTCTCGCCATGTTATGTTTGTTCCTTGGCTGCTAGATCAACTTTTCCAGCCAGAATTCAAATTCACCATTCCTTTTCTTGACCAATTGACTTCAACTCAGCCATGCGTCTCTTTTGTTTATTACCCTAAGTCAACTTGGTTAAAAACTGGAAGTGACTGCAATCAGGAACAAAAGCCTGCATCCAGTTTTTCACGGGAAGCTGCTCAGCCATAGATGCAGCTCTGCTCAAGTTCTCACGCAGGCTGGCCGCCGCGCTGTGCAGGCTTGCATAACTGTTAGTGGCATTGGACTGCACACACATTTGCGACCTCTTGTCTTAAAAGACTTGATCCTTCCTTTGCTGAATGTCTGCATCTAACTGTTGCGCCAAAGCAGAATATCCTGTTTGTCCCTGAAAATTTAAAGCTGTAGGAGAGCTTCACACCTGAAGCAGAAGATCCGTTAGCAGCACGATTGCTTGTACGCTTGCTGTCTGACTGAAGACCAGGGAAAAGAGGAAGCTTATTGTTCACAGGAGCAATAACTCTTCCTGCCAAAAAGGCCGGTGACAGTTTGGGCAACAATAGACTTTTTCTATGGTAATCTCTCTCGTTTTACAAAACAAGCTCGTGGGAGGTCGCGGTGGCTGTGACGTGGCGTGGGACGTACGGTCCTTCGTGGGCTGCCCTCTGGAAGGACCCCGCGCAGGAGGCGCGCTAGAAACTGGGGGTGCATAATAAGGCTCCTGAAGTGGAGTACTGCCGGCTGCTGGAAGAGCTAAATGTACAGGGCGACCCGAATAACCTCTGCCATAATGACCTGCTGATGAGGTACGGGCACCAGAGTAGTGACCCGACTCTCGAGACCTCTTGGCCTCCCTCTCTCCTCGCTCCCTGGCGAGCATAACCTCAATCCTCCTAGCAATGCTCNAAGTAAGTTTCTCTTTCATGATAGTAATTTTAGTTTTGTTGCATGTTTTTTATTTTTAGTTTTTCCACAGTTACCTTTTGCTTTTGTTTTGGTTACTTTTTATTTAGATTTTTCTTTTTGCTTTTACTTCGTATTCTCTATGTTTTCTATTAACACTGAGTTTGTTTTTTTTTCCAGCGAAATACTGGTATACATTATTCAACATTTCATATACAAGTTTATACAAACTTATACATCAATATACACATCAATATACATTACTGTACAGATGAAGTTAAAACTGAAAAATAGAATTTTTGTATTTTTCTCACTTTTATCTAACAATTTATATATAAAGTTAATTTTTTCGTTGATTTCTCTACTAAATGATGAATTTTCAAATTTTTCTTTTCTTGTTGAGTTTTTTGTCAAATCATAAACTTTGGAGCAAATTCATCTATATAGAACTTGGAAAATAAGAGATTTTAGGTCTGTTTGTTGTATGTTTATAGCTGGGATAGGAATGTATAAACTTGGATAAGAAATAGAATAAAAACCCATGAAAAATTTGCGCCAGAATAAAAAGGGCATAAAGGTTTTCTCCTGATTTGAGCCAAATAATATTGGGCTATATATTTGTAAACTTAAATCTAGATCATCCGATTGCAAGATTAACTTCTGGAGTGTATTATTACGTAATTTTATCTTATTTTTATGGAGTTGAAACGCCACTTTGATTTAATATTAATCAAGTCTAAATAGAAAGATTTTCTTCCCTGAACGCTGAATGGTGGTGCAATTGGGCTCCATGCAAATAGAGGAATGTAAGAACCAGCAACTAACAACTTGTTTGGATGGTTGTTATCCATTGTATTATATCTTATTGTTACTTTAACTATAATATTTGTTTTGATTGTTACTTAAATTTTATTGTATCGTATCGTTAAAACTTTCGTTATGTAACGACGGATTTGGCGTGGTGACATCGTTACCTTGTTTTTTTCTTCATCTTGATCTTTCTTATTATTAAATATTCATATTATGAGCCCGTTTGGATTAGCTGATTTGAAGTAGCTGATAAGCATTAGGTGCTGAAAAGCACTTTTAAGTGCTAAAACTGATTTAAAAAATAAGAAGTTACGTATTTGGGTACAAGTGCTGAAATTGATAATAAGTTGCTGCAGTATTTGATAAAAAAGTGCTGATAAGCTCTTTTTCTGTTAAATTGACTTAAATACCTTAGAACTATTTACACTTATAAGGGCGTAATTTCTTTAAAATTTTAGATTCCAGATCGATTTAAATACAAAATATTCTATTTGTCATTTTATTCTAAATACAGTTGTGCTTAGATAAGATAATTTTTACGATTAACGTAATTTATTTTATGATAAGCATATAATCATATGTTATAATAATTAATAAATTGACAAAAATTCTCAGTAAAAAATTAACCTAAATAGGACAAAATATTTGAAGAGAAACAAACACTGTCTTCATCGCCACAACACTTAGAAAGCAATACACCAAAAAAATGATATTTCCTCATTTATTACATACAGTTCAAAGATTGATAGATATAAATATGCAAAGGAATAGAGAATTATCTTATCTTAAATAGTCAACGAGAATTGCAGAATTGAAGAGGCGGCGGCAGCGAGGGAGGAAGGGGGGGGGGTTAGGATGAAAAAAATACTTGAGGCAGTGAGTATCGATGTAGGAGTTTTGTTCTAAAACGGAATATTTTAAGGATAAAATAGTAAAAATCTTGGTCAAACTTAAAGTGCTTATAAGCTAAAAATTCATAAGTTGGGGGTGACCAGCTTATGGCTTTTGGCTTATTTTTGACTTATAAGCACTTGGCTTATAAGCACTTTTAACTTTACCAAATGCGTAGATAAGTCGAAAAGTGCTTATAAGCTAGTTTGACCAGCTTATAAGCTTAGCCAAACACCCTCTATATCCTTTACCCTACTCTTTTATATAATAATTCTACTCCGTATCCTATTTGATTCTTAGTAATATTGCAAGTTTATTCTTCATATTGTTGGTGCATGCAAGGGCGGAGCTAGAGCTTCGATAACGGGTTCGGCCGAACCCAGTAGCTTTAGTCCAAATCATATATTTGTCTTAAGAAATTCATTGACTATGTACAAATTCTTACTTTATAACCCAATAACATAAAACGGTTAGAATCCCGAACCCAATAACTTCAAATCCTGGCTCCGCCTCTGTGTGCATGATATCATGAAACAACGGCAGATGATACAATCTATCCAAACATTGTATTCATCAAACAATACAATGCAATACAATACAATACAATACAGTACAATACAATACTATACATTATGAAACGACATGTAGCAACGATCCAAACAAGCTGTTAGAAAATCTAAGGTAAAAAACAAAGAAATCTTTCAACATAAAACTAAATTGGCTTTGCATGCGCAAGTCTACTACTATAAACAGCACCACATCCTATGCGCCGCTCTAGTCCTCCGTTTCAGAAGAGAAATCATTTAGACTATGTACAAGCAGTAAACTAGAAATGATTTGAACACTTCATATGCTGAAAATGAGTTGTAATATCAGTAGTGCACCTTGACAAGAACAGCACCAAATAGCCATCAAAACTACTAAAAGAAATTGAAAAGGAAAGCAATTATAAACTTATATAAGATGGTTGAGAAAATTCATTGTCCAAAAGTTACTTTAAAAAAACTTGAAATATACAGGTATGATTCAAGTTTTTTGTTTTTACACTATAGCTCTCTCTTGAATGGTAAACCTATAGAAGCACATAAAATCAAAATCAAATATTCACTTGGGTGCCGGATTCAATGTCTTCTTCATCTACACTACTCTATCATTGGCAATCAAAATACCGATAGCACCAATATTACTTGATCATAGGCTAGTCCTCAGCAGCAGCCAAGCTTGTTTCTCCCTTGGCTTCAATGTTACTTGCTTCCGCCTTCTTCACCTTCTTCTTTCTTGAATATGTCAATATGGGTTGTTTGACATCACGCTTGGAATCTCTGGTCGTCTCTTCGCCCTTTATCACATTGCTGTCGCCAACCACATAGGGTTTCTCCTCCTCTTTGCTTTCACCACATGTCCTTTCTGAGTTTGAAGGATCTGCAGCTTTTCTCTCTGCCTCTATTTCAGCATCTGTCATGACTTTAAGAAGTTCTAACGGCAGGGCTGCAGGATCCAACTCCCAGCATCCAGTGGGAACATTTGGAGCTTCTTGGCCTGTAAGCAAGTATGAAGGGACCTGATGAGAGAAGCGAAACATCTCTTCCCTGGGAATATGCCGAATATACATGGGGTCCAAATGCTGACGGAATACTGACTTGAAGCCAGCTACTTTGACTAATGGAGCAACTGTGACACCTTCCTTCTCTGTGTAGTCTCCAAGCACTTCCACCATATCATAGGTGTGTATCGCATCATCCGGAGTTAGCTCATTCCATTTAGGAGACCAATGCCTGTACACAGCCCAAACATCCCCCTTTCTTGGATAAATTTGGATAACACCTCTGGCTCCTTTCACCCACTTGACCTTGTGGGAGAACGAATTGAGCGTCTTACTGATTTCATGCTTGCCTATCCTGAAATCTCCACTGGTCTTGAGGAATCCAGAACCAATCCAATTAATAGGGCCGAATTCAGAGTTGTTTTTGGAGTTCAACCAGCTGAATTGCACTTTAAATGGCTTTTTAGATATCACATTGTGAATCAGAGCATAATAGCGCGGCATGCCATCATCATCGTCATAAGCAGCCCAAACTTGATTATCATCGAAAGATTTTTCCGTTCTATCCTTGTCAAAATTATGGAAGTCAGGGTCAGGAACAGTCATCGATGTAACTTCTTGTTCTAAATCAACAGCTGCAATAAAGACGGAAGACTTTTTCTGCTCGCACACTATTTTGGAATCCACCACTGCATCATTAGCAGTTTTATCCCTTCTCATATCATTTGTGATAACTTTAGGAGCTTGCTTCTTCTTTTCCACTTCTTTTTCTTCCTTATATGAAGTTTTAGAAGCAGTAGCTGTGCTCCATTCTTTAAGCTTCTTGCTGATCTCCATCCTTGCCTTTTTCACCAGCATATTACGAATTTCTGAATTGGACAACTCCTTTGAACTCCTAGGCTTGTTACTTCCCGCAACGGCGACCCTCTCTGCTCTCAAAATCCCATTCTCATTTCCATGTATGTTTCCTTGGCTGCTAGATCCAACTTTTCCAGCCAATTCATTCACCATTCCTTTTCTTTGACAATTTGACTTCAACTCAGCCATGCGTCTCTTTTTTATTACCCTATCAACTTTGGAAAAACTGGAAGCCGAATCAGGAACAAAACCTGCATCAGTTTTCACGGAAGCTGCTTCTGCATGAGCTCTCTTCAAGTTCTCACCAGCTGGCCGGCCGCGCTGTGCAGCTTGCATAACTGTAGTGGCATTGGACTGCACACCATTTGCACCTCTTGTCTTAAAAACTGGATCCTGCTGAATGTCTGCTCTAACTGTTGCGCCAAAGCCAGAATATCCTGTTTGTCCTGAATTTAAAGCTGTAGGGAGCTTCACACCTGAAGCAGAAGATCCGTTAGCAGCACGATTGCTTGTACGCTGCTGCTGACTGGAAGACCAGGGAAAAGAGGAAGCTTGATTGTTCACAGGAGCAATAACCTCTCCTGCCAAAAAAGGCCGGTGACAGTTTGGGCACATAAGACTTTTGTTTAGGTAAAGCTTTAAATATTCATACTGTATCTGGCATCGAATGCAAGATGTCCAGAATGTCTCTCGTTTTGATGGCTGTGGAGCCACCGGGGTTGGCTGGACATTAGCATTAGTTGAGTTTCTTGCACTTGCTGGGTTCATGGGGAAATTATGAGATCCGTGCTGATTGCCTTGCATGGATGAATTCCCCATGGAAACATTCCTCATACCTCGCTTATGATCATACACCATTTTTTTGGTTCTATCAGACAACAAACTCCACGCTTCAGATAAAATCTTAAACGCCCCATCTGCCCCAACAGATTGATTTTTATCAGGGTGAAGAGCTAGAGCTAGCCGTCTGTAATGTTTCCTTATTGTTTCATCATCAGCTGACGGATCTACGGAAAGGATACCGTAGAAATCCACTTCACCGTGGATCTTCTTCTCAGAAGCAACATAAACATTGACAACCTCCAGGAACTGAGAAAGACCGTCAAGGTCTGGAAACAGATTTCGAGCCTTCAAAGCAAATTTTTGAGCTCCAGCAATGTCCTTCTCAGTTAATTTCCGCTCAGCAATTCCTTTGGCCTTAACAGCTTCATCTTTATTACATTCCATTTGCCTACAACTTTGGCAACCGCAAATAGGCCAACTTCAATTGTCTCCCTCAGTTCAACCGGTAATTGTAGCAACACCCAATGACCTGTCTTTGACTCTTCGAACCCTAGAATACACAGTACAAATATGCAAGTCAGAGAAACCACAAACTTGAAAGAGGAAATAATATGAAAAAGGTTACTAGTAATGCGAAGTAATAATGACTTAGAAAGAGAAAGGCAAGCCGAATTAAGTGTGAAATGATAAGTTTGAGATTTTTTTTTTTTTGGATATCATGAATTTAATGCACTATCCGGTTTCCACGAACAGCAGAAAAGCACAAACAAGAACCCATGAAAAATTCTGAACTTTACGGAAACTAAACCTAAATAATAATAAGACAGGTGGTGTTATAACAGAGGGAAACTTACAATAATGTCTATCATTATACCGGTCAATCTATTGAAATAACTGCATTAGACCTTTCTAAATCTAACAATGCTACTGTTCCATCTAATGAAATGATTGCATATCTCCTTCCAAATCTAACCATGTTTAATGAGAAGCTCCATTTTCTTATTTCCACAAAAACCCCAAATATTTTTCATCAATTTGACAAATGTAAAAGACTCCGGACAAACGAAAGTAAGAACTGACAGAAATACAACGTGGCTTTTGTCTATGAGTTTTATATGTTTCTAGTTCAGATACTCCTCAACAACCTTTCTGTTTGATGGAAAAGGAGAATGGAACTTCACACCAGATAATGAAATGTTTTGGAAACCAAAAACAAAACCAGACTCATAGAGAAGTTGAAAAATAACACTCTCGCTACAACGGAACATAATAACGACAAGATCAGGACACTCGTTCCAGCCACATGATAAATGCATCTTCCCTTTTGAACTTACTCTCCTATCATATGCCGAAATCTAAAAAGGCATTGAAGAGACTGGTCAAACAACCGTAGGAAACCGACAAACTGAATTACCGACCTTTTGAACCCTAAATTGCATATCAATAGGAAACCGACTAACTGAATTACCGACCTTTTGAAAACCTAAATTACAATAGCATGAAGAGCAATTTTCGACATCATTCAAGTTTCTCTCAGCACATAATATTAACTGAATATACTATGAAAACACAGATGCTTCTCTTCATGCTCGTTCCAAGCTCGAAGTACCATTTGTACAGATAAAGTTAATTTATACCGATTTCTCTTGTGATCTATTTTTCAGGACCAAAAGGATGCCCAACCCAAACTAGTGAGGGTTGGCTATATGAGTTCTCTGTATTAACTATTTCCTCCGAAATTAAAGTAAAATTCAATAGCTCGAACAGACATCCTAAATCTTCATTCTTAAATCATTCTAACTGATAAGTAACAGATACCAATTCAAAAAGAATAGCTCTGAAATCTACTTCTTTTTACAGAAGTTAAAGAATTTCAGATCAGACACTTCAAAAATGGAACTTTTTTCTTCTTTCTATAAACATTCCTCACAAAATTTAGAACAGAATCTCACAAATACAACCTTCAAAAACCAGAATTGTGCTCTACACAAAATAGACCAGAAATGCATTAATTATAGGTATCTATACAAAGATTCTAAAGCATTTAATCAACATGAATTCGGTAACGCCTAACTAAATCCCTATAACTCCAAACTCAGCTATAATCAACATTGATTAAACACAAAAAAGGTTATACATATGCGCGCACACACACACACAAACACACACACACATACACATACATATACATATACACACACATATATGACATGTTTATATATAAAGCAATGCAGAAAGCATCTGCCTAACAAAAGAAAATGCAGAAAACAGTTATAGCAATATGAATGTAGCCATGCATTAAAACAACGCTGAAGCATTGGATAAAAAATAGTATACCTATAAAATTGCAGCAATGGTGGAACGTATAGAGTGAGTCGCTGTTGATTTTCCACCCAAAGAAATTCTTTTTCCGCTTCTTGCTATACAGAAATGTTGATCAGTCTGAATTTCGACAAACCCTAGAGGAATTTGGAACTTTGGCTGGTAATTACCATTATTTCGAAAAATAAAAAAATTAGGGAAAAAAGCTTTGTTTTCCTGAATTTTAAAGTACTATTTTCAGGTTTGGCCTGGTCTATTTATTTTGATGTTTTGGTTGGGGGGAGGGGGGTTAGTAGAGGTTAAACCCTTACCATGGTTAATTTTTAACCATAGTAAAATTATCCAAATTTTGATAATCTGGAAAATAATTTAATTAAATTAATTTTGGTCTATATACATTAATTGTAATTTTCCTTCTTATATTTTCTTCTATTTTTTGAATCATAACATATTTCCTGAAAAAGTTTTGCTTTACCTGACTATAATTATGCTTTCATTGAATATATAGCAGGAATTCATATAAAACTTCATCTTAATTTGTAAAATTTTATATAAATTTCTTACTAAAAGAAAGTGAGTAAGTAAATATGGCAAAGATTTTAGTATTGAAGATT